TTATTAAATAGTTGAAAATTTAATTTCGATCACAACTTATCAAATTCATTGATCACGGATTATTTTGAGGTCACAAAAAAGTTTTTTATAGTCACAGTTTTCAAAATTGTGGGTCACAGATTCCTTTTTTAATTACAAATTCAATAGAAAAAACCACTACAGTCTAATAGCTAAGTCACGACACCAGAAAGGTCACAGACACAAGAAAAAACCACAAGATGATAGACACCACCAAGGTCACAGAAACCAGAAAAAATCACCACAATTCAATAGATAGGTCACCGACACTAGAAAGGTCGCAGATACCAGAAAAAACCACCAAGGTCACAGACACCAGAAAAAATCATCGCAGTTCAATAGCTAGGTCACAGACACCCAAAAAACCACCACCGTTGACCCCACCACAACAATAACAAAAAACAACCACCACCACACGACCATCACCACTGCCCAAAACATACCACCACAAATTCACCACATCCACAACCACACATCTCCAGTCGCAGGCTGAACAACAATAAATCCAACTTCCATTAGCTACTGAACACTTACATACAAAACACACAAAGCACAAACACCATCATTACACTCCGCCTCAGCCACCACAAAATCGCCGGAGAAATACCACGAATTGGGATCTGGAATAGATCTCCAAGAGGTGGACGACGATAGCAGCGTCGCTCGACGCTGCTACGACGGGGTTTGGATAGATTTAGGTTTTACATAAATTTGGTGGTGGTAGGTAGTAGGGTGGGTACAAATATTATTTTAATTTTATAATATTATTATTAATTAAAAATGATAAAACCTGATTTTTGATTAAATAAAGTTAAAACCTGATTTTCAGAAATTTAAAACTAAACATGTAATTATCCCTTAATTATCAGTCTATAATGGACACTTTAAGAAACCAATTGAACTAGATTTGATTTAAATTTAGCATGGGCCAATTATCAGTCATAATTCAAGATTTTTTTCAAAAAAAATAGATAATTGATTTATATAAGATAAAAAATATGACATGAATTGGTGGATATTTTTCACTTTTATCATATTCCTTCCCTAAAGATGTATCTACCAATATTGTTTCTCCCATTTTAACGTTTATGAGAATAAAGAAAGAATAAGTCTTGACTTTAATTTAATTTTGGACTATCAAATTACATTATTTTCAGTCAATTGTTTTGACTTATTCATTCAGTTGACGTTACAATCTTGAGACTCGTAGTAGAAGACCTCGTAGTTTCCAATACGCCAAAAGCAATGACCTGACCAAATTTAATTACTAATTATCATTCTCGCAAGTTAAGACTTACCGTATGAAATAATTCCACCACCTGTCTTTATTTATTCTTTTTAATTCAAATAACCATATAGGACGTGCGACTTGGTCAACGGTAGTGATAACGATAAATTTAATCAGTACTCTAATATCATGAAGCTCAAAGAAGAGAAAAATGCATATTGTTTATACTCCATGGGCCCTTATAATGCTTTTCGGCGTGAAATATTCCGTAATAGTTAGTTATCCGCCTTCCATTTCAATCGGACTGTAGACATCATCTATACTATAGTACTTGAGGCAGATGCCTATACTCTTACCACTGCATGAGTCATATACTAGATGAAACTTTACAATATGTTAGGAAATTGTGAACGAAATCTTGCATTGGCCATACCTAGGAATAGATTTATAAGGAATTGAACTCTAGCTTCCAAGAGATTAACCTTTAGAAATGAAACTCCAATCCTTCAATCCCTACAAGTGATATATAAACGCACAAGATGTGGATAAACCAAATTCAGTTATTTGAGATGGTTGGAATTATATGTAGTCACCACTCAAAGGCAGTTGCACGTGTTCATGTAATTAAGTGGTGACCTTTAACGCGACCAAGAATTAAATTTTGATGGAGCTGTTGAAATTTTATGAAACTTTAAAGGGTAATTGTTGCAAAGCGTCCCTACCTTTACTTAGTTTTGTGAAAAACGTCCCTACGTTTGATTTTTTGACGCAGAACGTCCCTACCTTTACATTTTTTTGCGCAAAACGTCCTTTTGGACCATTTTACCCTTATATTAACATAAAACAAACACAAAAGTAAAGAAAAATAAAGAATAAATTGTAATTATGGGTTCAAACTTTTAAAAATGTGCAAATTAGTCACAAATAATAATTAACCATTGGAAAGCAACCCAAAAAGCCAAAAAAGCCAACTGCATGCGAAACCATTTTCTGGCGGAATAACGCCGACAGGCGAAACAACGCCGTCCGGCGAAACCCATGGCCGAGGACACCTGCTGGCCACTTCCCCACACCTAGACGAGTCTTCCCATGTTGGCAATTCATCTATAAAACCTCCCAAGCAAACTGAATTAATTCTGGAATAGTGCCCAGTCGCGATGCTCGCGATCCAACCTGAGAAAAACCTTAATTTCGGCGCCGTCAACTGCACCTAGGGAGGCGGGCCACATGTGCGAGGTTCTCCTTCACCTGGCGCACCTAGCCCAGTAATGGGTCTCCATCAATTTGACCCCAAGCAACCTGAATTTGATTCTGAAATTCTCGAAGGGGCGAACTTGCGAATACAGAATTTTATTTCTTTCAATTCAGGCGCCGTTCGGCCAAACCAAGGTGGCGGACCACCTGGGCTAGCCCCCCACACTCTGGGTAACCCAGCCCAGCCCTGGGTCCCAGCCAATTGCATCCCAAAATTGATGAATTTATGATTGGATTGGGCTGTCTTTGCTTGAAATTGGAGGTTGCTTGTTGGAGGAAATTGTTTACATATGTAGCTTCAACTTGATGAGGGGAGTCGACCAGTGTTGGATTCTGACCTGTTGGGTGGTCGGACGGCGAGTTGTGGGTGTTTGACCGATTTTCAGGCTGCAATTTTTTAATTTGATTTCCGGCCAAATTACAATGGGTTATGGGGATTTCTTGGTATGTAGTTGTAGAGGGTAATGAGGAGAACATGTTGGGACCAATATCCAACGGTTTTGGCGGCCGAAAGTCGCCGGAAAATGAGCTCATGTATTCGGCTGAAAAGGGGCAAGAGAGATTTTTTTTTTTGTTCTTTTTAATATTTTTATAAGTTTTGGATTGATTTGCATTTTTTAAAAAGATTAGGAGTAAGATTGCAATTTATTCTTTATTTTTCTTTATTTTTGTGTTTGTTTTATGTTAATATAAGGGTAAAATGGTCAAAAAGGACGTTTTGCGCAAGAAAATGTAAAGGTAGGGACGTTCTGCGTCAAAAAATCAAACGTAGGGACGTTTTCCACAAAACCAAGCAAAGGTAGGGGCGTTTTGCGTCAATTACCCAACTTTAAACTTTACTTGAAAACCTAAATTATTTTATTACCAAGATCTTCTATATCAATAATCAAATCACTAAGAAAATTAATAATACGAAACATAGATTAATTCTTTGGGAATGATTCTTTATTACAAGGTCTTAATTCCGAATCTTGAATTTTAAAAATTGGTTATTTTGATTCTTGAATTCTTGATCTTGATTTTGACTTATTGTTCTATAATCTTGATTGTTTTGTTCTTCAATTTAATTGTTCCAATCATTCTTCTTGATTCTTAATTGTGGATTTTAGATCTTTCTTTTCAATATACTTTCTCTTGTATTCTTGTGTTAATGAGATGTTATAAATAATGAGAATCACATATGAATTGGGGACCATAACCCTATTTGTAGTTTTCATATGCATTTGGCCAATCGTCAAATACAACCCTAATGGATTCGATCTCACCACATATAATCCGGCCACACTTTATTTGGATATCATAAGTCTAACAATTTAATTTTTTGTTAGATCACTTTAATTGGGCTCAATTAATTACATATGTAGATCCACACGACAAATTAATAAACCCAACAAGAGCTTGTAATCGTTTTTGAATTTGAGGAAATGAATGAATAAATTATCATTGTGATACTTCATTCGAGGGAAAATTGTCATTCATTCTATGTATGTAAACATTATTGGAAATTGGTTTAAAAAGAGAAGAACAATGGTTAAGTATGAAACCATAAAGTGTGAAAAGTGACTTTCGTATCAATTTCGATTAAATATTCGGATTTGATCTGGTAGTTAAATTATGAAAATAAATAAACTAGCTTGTTCTACTCGTCGAGATATATTGAGAATCTCAAAACCAATTTTGGATAAATGAAAAATTGTAATCCAAAGTTGAAGGAAAAATCAAATTTATGCACCTAAAATTGTCGCTCGAGCGATATCCCAGCGCCGACGAGCGACGGACTCTCCGCTTCTAGAGTTCGAGCGACGCATGGCGTTAGGGGAGTGATTGTAAAGGGCCTAAAGGCTGTGGCTTCGGTTGCGACCCTGACGAATGTTGCTAAGTTTTGGGTCGTATCTCTTCACTCACAACCTCTCATCCTGTATAAATGAGACTATTTGGACATCCTTTAACCCATCCCAATCATATATAATCATAACATAACATAAAAATTCATATTTTCTTAGCTGAAATTTTGCATAAAAATCTATTTTCAATTCATACGAAAGAGTACAAAAGGCATATTTTTGGTTCGTTGTTCTTGTATTTTGGAGTGTTAAAACATAAAAAAGTAATCGTTGTATCTTGAAAGCTGAATGTCATCATCCATAGGCACCGTTGTGAGGCAAAATCGATTTATTAAGGATAAAGAGTCCAATTTTTACCTCGACTTTGCATTCATTTCTTTGGTGTTACTTTGTCCATTTTAATTGGCGTTTTAATATCCATTTCTGTGGTGTTTATTACTCAATTTCTTGTCGTTACATTGTCCAATTTTGATAAAGTTGATAAGTTTGATTTATTAAAATTATCGCTCAAATCCATTTTACACAACAAACATTTTTTCCAATTTTCATTTTCTGGTTATTAGTTCTTTTTTCACAATACTCAAAAGCATGACGGGTGGACTATTGAGAGGCCAGGCAGAGTTGACAGAGTCGGTGTGGAAAGTGCAAAATCTATGGTCATCTTAGAATCTTTACATCTTATCTTTAGATTTCTATATAATACTAATAGTACTAAATGCAAAAGGTGTGGATATATTTCCATATTTAAACGCGCTGAAAGCAAATGATAATTTGCCACCCTCTCCCTCTTTTGATCATTAAAGTGCTCATGGCCGTCTCCCCCAACATCTGAGAAGGTCACATGCTTCTAACATTTCGTTCAAACATGCATGAGGTCACCTGTTAAAAACCAGGATCAACAGAGGATGGTTAGTGTATTACTCTAATTTGTCCATTATACAAGTTAAGGGAAGAAAAACTCCTTATGATATATTTAATAATTAGATTAAACAAAATTATTGATAATCTTGTTACATGTATGATATGATTTGGGATAGACAATTACTTGGTCGAGTTTTGGAGTCCAAATTGAAGAAGTTGACAAGCCAATGTTCAAGTTTCGTGAAGGACTTGGGAGCCAAAACGAGTTTGATTCAAGGTTTGGAAGATATTTGGAAAGAAAACGAGCAGCGGGCATAACTTTCAGTTTGGTTGTTGAATTTTCGTCAATGGGTACATTCTGAAAATGGCACGAAATTTTGCACAATGCTACGCGGATCATATCAATAATTTTTGTTCTGCTGGTTTTCATATGTTTAATTTGGTTTTCGATGTCATTTTTATTTGTTTTGATTTTTAATGGCATCTGATTTTATTTAAAAAAAGATCATCAATTTAATATGAAAATTGTCAATTAGTGACATTTTCTTCATGTTTCATGTTAGTTATTTGTTTGAATGACAAAATGATTCAGATTCATTTTTGGTGATGCTCCGCACGGTGTGGAGCATCAACTCTGTGCGGAGCATCAGGCCTTTTTTTACTGTGCAAACAATAATAATTTCTATAAATAATATTAACCAAATTTACAAACACTTATTTTTAAATTTAGGTGATACAATTTGCTTACATTTTAGGTGATACCAATTGCTTATATTTTACACAAACTAAATACAATTTCGCTTATTAATGATTTAATTCAAAAACATTAATAAAAATTATAAAACTGTTTACAAATCAAGTCGATCTCGGCATTTTTCCTTGTTGATTGATTCACCAATGAGTTTATGGTAATGGTTGCATCATTTATCTTGATTAAGCCCATGTTTGAGCCCCATTATTTCTCCTTTTTTCCCATTCATTTTTCTACAGTACTCATTTTCGACCACACTTTCTCCAAATAAAATAATATTACATACAAATCTAAAATTTTTCATCACTTTTTCACCACACATTCTTTCATCAATCACTATTCAAAAACTAATTCTTCCTAAAAAATGGGGGCCAAACACCCACCAAATGGTTTTGTGGGAATAGTAAAGATGAAACAGTGGTTATTTTTCGTATTATGACGTTTGACCTTTGAAACTCAAGAAAGAACAGTTTAATTGGAATTCGTCTATCATCTACAATGTCGTACTTCACCTTTTGGATTATTTAATCTGATTGAATCTTCTTGAATGATGAGTTTAATCTATAAGCAAACTTCATTTGGTTAGGAGTTTATTTTTGAAAATTGGTATGCAATTTTTGAAGTGAATATTGATTTCTTTGTGAATATGATTTATTATATGTTATCAAGTCAATACAATGAGTTTAATCTTAACCATGTAGCCTGACAAACTAGATTGGGAAATTAAATGTCAAATAGATTGATGGAAATGACTCACGATCAAAGTGAATGGGAGTAGATTTCAAATTCTTTTGCATATTGTATTCCAGATTTTTAAATCACTACATTTTATTCTACATGTTTCCGATTTGAGTGTAGGTCCGTTTAGGAGTAGACAACTATGTTTAAAGAACATCTAAGCAAACAATTGATATTTTGAACAGAATAGGTAAGGGTTTGGAGAATCAATTGGAATCTCTAAAGGTTGTAATACAAGATTTAAAGGCCAAGACTTCATTTTTTGTTGCTACTTCTAAGGTAGTGGTAAGCTTGTTGATTTTTGGAAGCAATTATTCATTATATATATAATTAAAGAAGGTGGAGTCTGTGAGTTGTGTTAATTTGAATTATTCATCTATGATTATTTGAAGGTAGCACTTTTTTACTTTAAAACTACTACTTGGCAAATGCTAAACAATTTTGAGGACATCTAAGTTTTTGTTAGTGTTATAATGAGTTATAAGCAGTAGTTGTTCAAATATATCAAAGTTCATAAAATTAAGTTTTAAGTGGAATTCCCATTGAATTTTTGCTTCTTGGTTCATGTGTTTATAATAAAACATTTCAAATTTTTCATTGTGTTCCATGTCGCTGAATGAATTTAAGGCCAATAAGGTTAGTTATCCAATACTCACCTATTATTATTTAGCATTTGAGTGTTGCATTATTGACAAAGTCTTCAATGTGATTAATGAAATTGAAATCTAAAGCTAACGTCAAAAAAATTGCAAATTATAGGAGAGCTAGAATGACAGCAGATTAAGATTCTTTTGTAGATGCACTTTGCAATCCGACCCCATATCACCCCTACCTCCACTCCGTAGAAGCCCCCCACCCCTGAGCAAGAACATATCTCACTCTTTCTTTTGCAACAGTAGCAATCTCAGCTTCATAAACATTTGAAATTTTGAACATTGGTATTAATGCGACAAGTAGTAGTATTTCTTTTCATTAATTTGTTTCTTGCCATTTATTTTTTCAGGTGGGAGGATTAGCAGATGCTTTAGTTATATTATGATCTAACATTTATAAGTATCTGATTTGCTTTAAACTATGAAGCACGCCTAAGTCTTTCAATATATTATGTGGTGTTGAATTAAATCAGACAAATTTTGTCTTTCTATTTGATAATTTATTTATTTTATACAAATGTATGTATGAAAATTTTGTAATACAATTTCTCATTTAATCTTAGCATTCAAGACGCTAATATTACCTCAAAAATAATACAAATAAAATTCGTGTACCAAATGCACCCTCAGAATTTTTATAAAAATAAACACGAAAATATATACAAAAAAGAAAGCTCATATACTGAATTCACGTGTGTGAATTTAAGAGATCGTACGGACAACGTACTCTTTAGGTGTTGGCATGAATTGGGACAGTTGGCTGTCTGACGGCACTTTAATTTTTGACTTTGGAAATCCGAAAAGCGCGTTTAAATCCATCTCGTTATTACTACTTGAAATAATATATATATATTCCCAACAGTATTGTACGTCGGTGATCGGAAGATCTGATCTGATGCATCACTTTTCTCCGTAACATTTTCTAAAATTTCTCTCTTTTTGTCGTAGAAAATCAACTCGTATTAACTTCTATCATTAGGAATTTTGTGGGGCCTCCGATAAACAAAACAATACCCCTGAACCAGTCCGATTTGTTTATTATGCACTCTTGGTTATGTTAGAGACAATCTGATTCATGATATTGAATCGATGCAGTGTAATAATATATTAAAAATAACAAGACCTTTCAATCTCAAATTCAATGGCTTAGAATTAATGAGGACCAGCTTGTAAGACCTTAGTAATTGAAGGAGATGAATTTGGAAGCAAAATGAAATAATTTACTTTGCCAATTGAGCATGGAAAGATGCATTTCATAATTAAAAAAAGCTTCAAACTCAATATATATAATATACGCGTGTATGTGTGTGTGATATTAATTTTGAAACTACATTTAGCCCTTGTTTGATTTTTAAAATACATTTTTCTCTCTTTCATTTTCAACTACCCATTATTCAATAAAATAATATCATACATAAATTCAAAATATTTTTTTATTTTTTAACCACACATCATTCATCAAATCACTATTTTAAAATGTACTTTCGACAAAAAATAAATAAAAATAAATGGGGCTCAAACAATTAGTAAATTTCAAATATAGAGGAAAATCTATAAAATTTTAGAAATACGAACTAGTTTGCATGAGATTGTTAGACATATGGCTAAATCAAATTCATTATGTAGCTAAATATTTATCATTAAGGAATCCAATCAATAATGTACAAACAGACAAGAGCGAGTCTGGGTGTCACCTTAAAATTTGGACTTTTCTAAGTGTATCCCGATTTTGACATTTCAGTGAAATCTGTACACTCGAGTGTCAAACTCAGTGTACAAATAGCAAAATTCTAAAAATTTTAAGAAAAATGAATTGTTAAATAAAATATTGTCTCGACAATATTCTAATAGGCTTAAATTCATTAGTGTCCACTCAATTTTATATTTGGTGTCACCATAACAATTTAATTTGATTTTATTTCACTATGGCCACTCAATTTTATACATAGTATTTCCATGACCATCTTTATTTCACCAAGATCACCCAATTTCATATAACGTTTCTCTATGGCCAACACACTTCTTTTTACCATTTTTACTAATTTTAGAAGGGGTAAAACGGTAATTTTGCATTATATATAAAAAAAATATTTTAAAAAAAATTAAAATAAAAACTTATTTTAAAATAAAAAAAATTATTTTTGTTTTTATATATATATATGGTAAAAAGAAATTGAGTGGTCATGATGAAATGTTATATTAAAATTAGGTAATTATGATCAAACGTTATATGAAATTGGGTAGTCATGATGATAATGAGTATAAAGTTGGATGATCACAGTGAAACAAAATCAAATTGGGTGATCATAATGATATCAAGTATAAAGTTGGACGGTGGATTTAACCAATAAGTCGATCCCCAACCCAACATTGCAATTAATTTGTAAAATTGTTGATTTATGCGAAACTTCCTTATGTTTTGAGACAGCGACGGTCTGTTCTCTCTCCTCTCCTCCCTTCCCCTCCCCTCTATATTAATAATCTCAGGCAGCATTTGCAAAAATAGCACAGCATACGTACTACATTATCCTTTCTGTAGAGAGAAAAGCCTATCTTCAACCATCTCTTGAAACAGAACAGATCAATCCAAGTTGCATTTATATCGAAATTAAATCGAGGTAGGGAAAATCTTGCTCTTTTGCACTTTCTTTCAATTAATTGCGTCATTCGCATTGTTGTTCAACGTTGCTTTACGGCAATTTAATGAGTCATCTATTTTCACCTAGGATGATTATGTAGCTGTTGGCACATTCTCTCTATCAGAATGTTAACATCTCATTGTTAAACTAAAGATTAAGTTTAATGCCTCAGTTTGATGACTTCTGAATGTTTCTTTTATTTTCAGAAAAATGGGAGTGACTTTTTCCTGTCCATTTGCCAATCTTGATGATTTCGATAGTCAATTTGAGTCTTATTTGGCTAGATCTACAAGTTTCGAAGGCAGCGATGAGAAAACTTCACGATCTAGTAGCTTAAACGCTAGAGGTTCTGAAGCTACTACATTGAAGTCTTTAGGTTCTAGAAAGATGATCCTTGAAGGGTCTCTTAGTTTCAATGGGAGGGAACTAGAGGCCAAAATCTCGCTGCAGGATGAAAACGCAATGGTCAGATCGGTCGACTTTATTAGCGGTAACCAATTGCGGCCTGCTGAAGATTGCATGCCCGAGAAAAATGTTGAGAAGCTATCTCCAGAGTCTGGTAATCAAAGACATCAAGCTGCCCTTAAATTGCAGAAAACGTATAAAAGTTTCCGAACGCGGAGACAACTAGCAGATTGTGCTGTTCTCGTCGAGCAAAGATGGTACACCAAGTGCAATTGTTACATGTCAATTCCTGAATTTGTCTTACCAACTGCGATTTTTTTCTTCTATTACATTCAGGTGGAAGCTGTTGGATTTTGCTGAACTCAAGCGTAGTTCTATATCATTCTTCGACATTAAAAGACCTGAAACTGCCGTTTCACGTTGGTCAAGAGCAAGAACCAGAGCTGCTAAGGTAAGGTCATGGTGTCAGTTTGTGTATTTCTTTAGTGCATTTCTGTTGAAGTTCTGAAGATTAGGACTTTGTCAGGTGGGGAAAGGTTTGTCAAAAGATGAAAAGGCACGTAAACTTGCTTTGCAGCATTGGCTCGAGGCTGTAAGTTGCACTTGCAAACCAACCTTAAAACATTTTTATGACCATTTGTTGATTAATTTTATTTATGTCATATAGATTGATCCTCGACACCGCTATGGTCACAATCTGCAATTTTATTATGTTTGTTGGCTCCAATGTGACAGCAAACAGCCTTTCTTCTACTGGTAAGGTTTATTTGGAGCTTTTTGCCACTGATCTTCATCATCAATTAGATATGGACGCTTTATAACCACTTTGATCTGCAGGTTGGACATTGGAGAAGGTAAAGAAGTAAATGTCGAGAGGTGTCCTCGATCAAAACTTCAACAGCAATGCATCAAGTATCTTGGTCCAGTGAGTTTCCTTTCTACCTTTCAGAGGCTCACCTTAAAAATCTCTGCTAATTAGAACAATTTTAACATAGCTGGAACATGCACATTACCCCATATATGCCTGTATATAGAATACTAGAGATTTGAAATAAAATAGCCAAGAATATAATGCGTACTTCAATTTGACGGTGCAGACAGAGAGGAAGGCATATGAAGTTGTTGTTAAGGGCGGAAAGTTTATCTACAAGCAGAGTGGACACCTTCTTGATACAAAGGGCGGCCCCAAAGACATCAAGTGGATCTTTGTTCTCAGCGTGACTAAGATCTTGTATGTTGGGCAGAAGATAAAAGGCACATTTCAACATTCAAGTTTCTTGGCTGGTGGTGCCACACTCTCTGCTGGACGATTAGAGGTGGAAGAAGGCGTTCTAAAGGTAATTAACCAAGCAATTCCTTTCCTTTTCTTTTGAGCAAAATATATGATATTCTATCACTCGGGAGAGCCTCCTAAATGAATCTAAAATTTGGTATGCAATAGGCGGTTTGGCCTCACAGTGGACACTATCTTCCAACAGAAGAGAACTTTGAGGAATTAATGTCATTTCTGAAGCAACACAATGTTGATCTGAGCGTTGTCCAGGTAGGGTCTCATTCGTTGATTTTGTTATATGAATGTAAAACAAATGGGTTGTTTTGTATAGTATAATACTAAAGAAGAAAAAAAAGTTAAAATATTTTTATTCTACATAACAAACGTGGACATAAGGTATAGAAAGATAATGCATTTTCGTACTTAATGAAAACCCTTTATTACACCTTGAGCATAAAACTTGTTTCAGCATGCACATAACCTCTGAGCATCTCAGTCAAGTTACAGATGAAACATTTATTGAGTTACTTTTATACTGTTTTTACAGAGAGTGCCAAATAGCGACGAGAAAGTTGGCTTTGGCCTTCATAATAGCTTATCAGCACCAGATTTCAGTCAAGCCGGTGAAGTCAATAGCTTCAAAAGTGCAGACAAAGAGAAAATCGATTCAAGCAAACAATACTGTATGGATGCAGAAATTATGCATCCATCCTTATCAAGTTGGTCCAGAAAGCTAAGCTCAAAAATCTCTGAAATTCAAATTCCAAAAAGAGAGGTTATAAATGAGTTGTTCAATGAGCAACATATAGTACACAGTTGCAGCACTCGATCTGTTGAAAGTCCAGACGGATATGAGACAGCAGAAGAATATTTATCAGATTCAGATTTTTCAGTCTCTAAGGAAAACTTATTTGATGAGGATGAACAAGAAGGATATGAAGAACCTATTCCCAAGGAAAAAATCATTAAGAGAATAAACTCGCATAAAGGATTGAAGTCATATCAATTGGCTAAACAGTTATCCTGTAAATGGACAACAGGAGCTGGGCCGCGGATTGGATGTGTTAGGGATTATCCTTCAGAGCTCCAAGTCCGTGTTCTAGAGGATGTAAATTTGTCTCCAAGAAGTACGTTTTCATCTCCTCGCAGAACTGCTCGATTTATGGTGGAGGGTCTTACTTCTCCCTTATGTAGAGAAACAACTATAGGTAAAAGTCCATTTGCTTCAGAATCACCAAAACTGGCTCAGATTGCAGCAGATAATCAGAACTAGATGCAAAGCTCAAGATACAAATTTGAGTTTATTGAAGCAATTTTTTCCTGATTCATTTTTTAAGGCTAGGAATTCTTTTGTAGTTTTTAAAATCATTATTTTTCACAATTTTTTTGTAGGTTCAAGTTACAATAAGAAAATGAATTAAAGTTGTTTAGGATTTTGTTTCTTTGCTGAATTCTTTCGTATAGAAAAATGAATAAAGAATGATTTGTGTATACCCATCAAGAAATAGTTAAATTCATCAATGGCCACCCAACTATATAATTGATATCATCATAACCATTCAATTTGATTTTGTTTCACTATAACTATCCAATTTTACACTTAGTGTCACCGTGACCATCATATTGGATTTTATTTCACTAAAACCACCTAATTTCATATCACAGACTATAATCACCAAACTTCTTTTCACAATTTTCACTAAATTTAAAAGGAATGAAACAGTAACTTTACATTATATATATAAAATAAATAAATAAAAATAAAATTTTATTTTTAAAAAATAACATAAAATAAAATTTTATTTAAAAAATCGTGAGTTAAAAAAATAAAATAAAATAAAAACTTATTTTTTTAAAAAAATGTTACTTAAAAAAATAAAATAAAAACCTATTTTTTTGATCCCCATTTTTTAAAAAATACATTTTTTTCTTTCTTTTCAATAACACATTCTTCAATAAAATAATATTACACACAAATTCAAAAAAATTTCTTATTTTTTAACCACACATTCTCCATCAATCTACTATTCCAAAATATATTTTATACAAAAAAATGAAGCTCAAAAGGGCTCTTAGAAAAATAAAATAAAAACTTATTTAAAAAAAGTTACTTAAAAAAAATAAAATAAAAAGTAATTCTAAAAAAATGTTCCTTAAAAAAATTATTTAAAAAAAGTTTTTAAAATAAAATGAAAACTTATTTAAAAAAAATTTAAGTAGAAAAATAGAAAGTTATCAAAAAAATGTTCCTTAAAAAAATGAAATAAAATAAAAACATTTTTTAAAAAAACATTTTAAAAATAAAATAAAAACTTATTTTAAAAAAGCATTACTTAGAAAAATAAAATAAAATAAAAACTTATTTTAAATAAAAAAAACTTTTTATTTTATTTTATTTTATATATAATACATAGTTATCATTTTACTCATTTTAAAATTAGTTAAAAAGGTGAAAATAAATCCGGTAGCGTGGAGAAATGTTATATGAAATTAGGTGGTCATGGTAAAATAAAATCAAATTGGATAATCACGACACTAGGTATAAAATTGAATGGCCAGGGTGAAACAAAATCAAATTGGATGGCCATGTTGACACTAAGTATAAAGTTGGGAGGCGGATGTAACCCCATCAAGAAAATAAGCAAAGCACACACGGTATGATTAAGCTCCACAAAGTCCCAACTTAAATGTTATGTGTCTTAATCAAGGTGGGGTTGGCATTGTTAAATGGAGCAACATAACTGCCAGAATTGAGGGCTATCCAAAGTATGTACTGCATATGGTTCATCTCTGTCTATGTACCAGCAGAAACTCTGAATAAACAGACTTTGACATTTCAATCTGTTTTCTTTCTTAAATCATAATAATCAAAATTACATTAATGAGAGCACTCTTGGTGACACTGATTTTTATTTTACGCTAATTTGAATGAGATTTTATAAAGAAATACAGCCCCCAACCACCAGCATTGCTCGGGTGAAATACATGCTCCACATGCAGAATGGAAGTTCTTTCAGATTCTTCTATCAGGCACGCAAGTTGTTAGCATAAACTCACTCAGCCACTTCTAAAGTTCTTCCTATACATGAGACTGCACTTCTAGGTAAATATAAACTTGCTAGATGAAAGGGAATATTATATACTCTGCGTAGAAGAGATTCCATATAAAGCGATAGAACGAGGAGATTGAATCCTGTGAAATGCAAATATACAAGGTCAAACCAGCATTGACGGTATTTTTTTTCCACTTAAACTGAAATCAAAGAAAATATGCCAGGATAAAAATTGTAGTAGTCGATTAGCATTTATAAAACTACAAAACTATCCAAGATTCTTCCAGGATTGGGTAATATCAAAAATACCCAAAAACATATATCTCAATGTATGTTGGTTGCATAATATATTGTGGCTCTTGTTTCAGACTTCGATATATTTTTCAAATTATAAATGTCACTAACCAAACTGTTTTTTATTATTGTCCAACGCTATCAAATGTGCAAGGTGATGTTATATTACAAACTAGCCAGTAGAAAGTTTTGCATTAAAGTATGAGCAAATTAATGACAGAATTGAAGAACCACTCAAAGGTTTTTAAAATGATTGAAGGCCTTTCGATGAATGTGAAGCCCACTGGCAAAAGGCTGAATGTAATAATCCCATTATATTCAATCCACTGCCAAACCCTTTCAACAAGATATTGTGCACTACAGATGAAAATGCTTCAGCTAAAATAACTTTGCTTCTCAGATGGCAGGCAAATACTAGAGACACGTCAGAGAGGAAAAATTTAAATCAACACTATTCACTCGTGAAAAAGTTACTAGCATCACACAGTTCCATGCACTTAAATAGTTAGAACCAAGCATTCTATAAACAAAGTTAGGATAACTCAAGAATTACCTTGGTAAAATTTGCTCGTTCCAGTAACCATGTCTGCAAAGGATTCAACAAAAACATATTTAACGAAATAGGACTACCATCTAGAAGAGAAAACAGATAAACCAAGAAATTAACTAGAAATCAGTGAAAAGAAGTCCTCATTTTTACTGGACAAACATCAAAACAATCATTAAGCCTTCTACACTTCTGGAAATGTAACAAAACAAAGTTAAAATATATACAACTTAGACTTATGATCAAGTTATACAGAGCTTCGACTTGCATAATGAGTTAGAAAGAACAGAAAAATTAGAAGGAGCGTGATCAACAAATTCAGCTTACTTCTTGATAGGTAGCTTAGGACTCAGCTCCATCACTCCTAAATTGACAAACTTTAAAGAGTATCCTTATTTAATACTGCTGGTGCATTGATTGAAAACAGGGTTGAGCATAAGAAGAATGTTTGTGGTTTCTGTTGTTAAAACAAACAAGATACCATAATAGTTCTGATACCAATTGTTGTGAAATAAGCCACCGGATTGAGGTGAAGTTATATGGCAAATAATAATGAAGTATGTGATCAAACAAAAGAATAATAAAGACAAAAATATGATAGAGTAATTAAGAGATTTTATTGACTCAAGAATAATGGAGAAGAGAGAAAATTACAATAGATCCTATAATTCTAGTAATCTATTTTCTCACATTATAAAATTGTATAGAAGAATCTAGTATTTACAGGAAACATGTAGGGGACATCCAAATCCTCTTGGTAGAGTTGTTGATGGAGCAGAATGCCAAAAGATTGAGTTCAAAACAAATTAGGAGAGAAAACAGCGAAAAACCCAAACAGCACAGGTGGCGCTCCAGCGCCCACCTCCAGGGGCCACGGCGCCGGGCAGTCTGCCGAATTTTTTTTTCCATCCAAATTCTTTTTCAAGTCCAATACTAATTTTTAACTCCTAATGAGCTTCTAAAATAAAACAGCAACTTGATATAGGACTCCATAGTATTTCAAACTGAATTCTTCTTGATATGCACTTCAATTAAAATTATTCAATTATTTCAATAAAGAATTCGAGTCACACCAAAATTCTAATAATCTCCATCTTGACACAAATTTCACCAAGGAATGAACTGGCTTCAACAATAACCAAAAAATTAATTTTTCCAACAAAAACAATACCCCACCTCCTCCAATGAATCAAAATACTACTTTGCAGAATTATCTCAGATTCCCAAAAAAATCATAATGATTTTAAATTAATCAAAATGGGCTGTAACACACTCTAAAACAGAATCAAACTCAAATGCTTTTAAAGAAGGCCTCTTGCTAGATTGTACACCTTCTACTCCATTTAAAACATGCTCAACAAAATCAGCATCCACATACCCTTTTCCATTGAGTCCGTTCCTAACAATTGAATACAATGGTACCGCAGGTGATGATGGCAACGCAACATTATCCATATCTCCTGAGCTCCACTGAACTGTATTCTTCAAATCTGACTATTTATGAGCTCCTAAAGGTATTGTACCAAACTGAATGTCCACCACGGTCCTGAACTTATGCTGATTGACTCTTCTAAATTCTACACAACCCTGCAAGATGTATAACTGAGACCTTTTCTGTCCTTTCAATACAACTTGGGCACCATTACAAACCTTCAAAACTCCACCTCCACCTTCACCAAAGAACTCATAACCTTTCGAATCAAGAATAAACAACAAGATAAGATTTTTCAAATGTGGAACATGTCGAACCTGGCCAAGTGTTCTAATTGTCTCCTCCAAAAGTTTCAATCTGACTACTAATTCTAGCAACCCGACAAGATGCGTTGGATCCCATAACCACGACACCTTTGGAAACAGTTTCATATGTAGCAAATAAGTCCTTATTAGGACACATATGAAACACACGTTGAATCAAGAATCCAATCAACTTCTAGTTTAGACTCAATGTCAGAAATAGCTAAGAGATCTCCATCACTTACAATGTTCTCCGCGAGGTCTGCTTCGCCTGAAGTAACTGAATATCTACTTGCAGTCATCCTTTCTTTATTCTGCAATTTGTAGCAATCCTTCTTTAAGTGCCCATTCTTCTTGCAGTAGTTACAAATTTGATTACTGAACTTAAATTTCGATCTGTCCCTTCCAAAATCACCATGAGCAACCAGCCTTCTCCATCCCTGGCCTCAGAAACCAGATGCTTCATTTTCTCTTTTGAATATAAAGCATCATACACTTTCTCTATGGTGAGAGTATCACGACTATACAAGATCGTGTCTCTAAATGAAGAGAACGAAGCGGGCAACGAACACAATAGGATTAAGATCAAATCTTCTTTATCATACTCTACTTCCAAAGTTTCCAAATCAATGACGATCTCCTTAA